AACAGTGTGGTGTATCGTGAGTGAGAATTTTTTATAATCCAGTTCATTGGATCTCAGTTCAACGCCATATTTTCCCTCATCTCCCCTATCCAACGTTGCCTCCAAATTCAGCCTTCCTCTGTCTCTTTACCTTTTTATAGGGATGGCAGTGTTGGTCAGTTCGGTCAAATGCGTTAGTCCAGACTGACATATCACAACAACTATTAAATAGATTGCCAGAAAAGTTTTTACACACGCTCATGATTCCCAGACTATGTATTGGACTTGCAGATTCCCTGACTTTTCCTCTAGTGTCAGTACACATTTGTGGATTTTAGTTAAATATCTTGAAAGTATTGGATGCATTGTCATGAGATTTGCTTCAGGATGAAACAGAATAACATTGGTGGTCCTCTGACTTTCATTTAATGGACCCCAAAAAAGCAAGCAAAGGATAAAATAGTGTGGAGTGAGAATTATTTTATAATCTTGTTAACCAGATCTCAGTGCAAAGCCAGTTTCCTTAAAGCTTGTATCACCCTAATGAGGTTAATCACCTTCAACTTAGGTGCACAGGTTGGTCCTTCTTGCCTTCAGCTCTCCATCCAACATGACAAATGTAGCCTTCTTTGACTTTTACAGGCAAGCTTATCCATAAATTGGCAAAACAAATAAATTATGTATGTTTCTCAACACCTAAAAATGTATGTCTTTTATATTTCAGGGGTTGCTTAGCCTTGTAACTCTAATCATAGTCTACATGTTGTCCAAAAATAAAGAAAGAAAGAATCTGCCTACAGTAGTATTCACTGTTAAAAGCAGGTCTCCACTGTAAGATGTGACAGCATTTGAGTAGCATTATCTCAAAAGGAATACAATGAGTAAACCAGCCTTTAAAGGCACATATGGTAAATATTAAAGAGGCATGAAAGCAATAATTCTCCTCAAGATGAAAATTCTGTCAAGAATCTTTCCAAAAAATTAACAGTAAAGGTCAGTATGCTGTTAGTGCCTTGGAATATAATAGTAAGGGCTTATTTCTAAGCTTTTCATTTTGCAAAAATTGTTCAAAAACTCACTGAGAACAAACCCATCAAAGAGAAAGAAGAGATACCTGTTTTGTCACGGACAGTGGCCTCAATAGACCAGCAGGCATTTCATACAAATGTCCCAAGCCATACAACATATTCTATTTATACATCCATCTATCTATCCATCCATCCAATATCTTTTGCAAGGTGGAGGGGGGCTGGAACTTATCCCAGCCGGCATCTCCAGTATGTACTAATCTTTGTTGTTCTCTAGTTAGTATTAACACACATACTTGTTTTATACGGACAGGAAAGAATGCCACGGCCGGTTAAACAAAGGGGTACAGTTTAGTATTCTACTTGAAAAGAAAAAGAGCTCTGCACACATGTAGAGCAGAGAGTCACAGCTGACAGGATTTACACAAAATCCAGCAATGTGGCTCCTTCCCGCAGGGTTGTGCGGAGGGGGGCCATGTTTATTTGTGCTTTAGAATGTTACTGCTGTTAAGCAATCCTAAAATAACGTTTTATTTCTCTGATCCACTTCTTTGTTCTTGCTAACACCACTTCCTCTCTTCATTAATTTTGTAGCTTGCTTGACCTCCGCTGCCCTTGCTCTCTGTCTCTGTGTCTCTCTGCATGGGGCAAACTTTGAATACTGTGTACAAACAGCAGCCGACAAATCCTTCTCATTCCACCTTAAAATCTAACTTAATTAATACGATGAATCACTTTAAGTTTGAGGACTTTGACATAAAACATAAAATATGATGACATTCTTTCAAAGCTTCGAAAAAACATGAAAAAAAGACATTCGGTACAGGCTTATAAACCAGTAAGGGAATTAGAAGAAGGTGATGTAGGATGATTATGATAACGATTGAAATTACACAGTAAATTACAACAATTTATCAAAAAATAACTTGTGTATATAACGTTGGTGCTGCAGATTGAGCACTGTGTGTGCGACTGGCAGTAAGAAGGTGAGAAGAGGGAAAAGAGCAAGAGAGATGAAGAACAATGCAACAGAGGTTTAGAGTTTAGAGAGAATAAAGGAAGACAATTTGAGACGAGAGGCATCAAAGAGGTAAAGTGAAGCCAGAAGGAGAGTTAAGAGGAGGAGGTTTAGTGTGGAGGACAGGTGGGAGAATAGTTAAGGTGAACAGCGAAGAAGGACAGATCAGACGGGGTTAAGATCGCTAGAGTGGAAGAAAATGGTTTCTAAGTAAGGATTAGAAATAGGTAAGAATTAGAAAGATGAGAATTTATTTTGAAAGGACAGGAAAGGATGACGAATGAAGTTAATGGAGAAAGGCAGTAAGGGGCAACAGAGATAACAGTAAAGAGGAGAAGACGAAGGACAGAGGAGGAGGAGAGGAGCGGCTGGCGAATTGACATGATGTTTGTTGGACGTGAATCAAAGCAACGACAGGAAGCCTTTGACCACCAAACGCAGCATGGAGCATGTTTGTGTGCTCTGCTTGTGTGTGTGTGTGTGTGTGTAACGGGTGTTGGTGCGTATGTGTGTCTTTATAAAAAATGATAAAGGAGGCGAGGCCTGAGCAGCTTTGAAAAGGCCGACTCGGCACTGTCACTTTGTTCTTCCAACAAAATGATGATAATAGTCCTCCTTAGACAGACGCACGCACACACACACACACACACAGACACACCATTCCATATAATTTGGGCACTTGCTGTGATGTGGGTCTCCATGGAAACGGCAACAACTTAGTGCTGGCTGATGTATAATGACAGTGAGCATTGCACCTGAGGTGAAAGAGAGGGAGAGTGGGGGGAGGGAAAGAGAAACAGAGGGAGAAAAAAAGAGGAAGGGCAGATCACAGCAGACCTTAGAAATAAGATGAATCCTTGGTAAGACTTAACATGTTGCAGATAAAATTACATCTAAATTCTTAAATAAGACCCTTGGCTTCAAGTTATTGTAATTTTGTTGCAAACCTCTTGGTGTCAGCCTTTCCTGGAGTGCATACCAAACCCAATTAAGACATGAAATTAATATCCTGCTACATTTGCATAATTTCAAAATTATGTGAAAAAGCAGTTATTCAAACTCCAGCCAGAATTAAGTGACATATTTTAGTACAACACATTCAGGGGGTTTTGAAGAAAATTACATTATTTTAAAATGTTTTATTTTGTTATTTTTTTTTAATTTTTGCTTTGTTAAACCAAGAGTTAGCAGTTAATTGTTATTGCTAGTGATGTCTCTGTTTACTGAGGGAAGACTAGAAAGTATAGAAGAATAGAAAAGAGAACACAGAGTTTGAAGATTAATACTGTAAAGTTGAAATATTTCAACTGTACATGCAGTGTGTTTTTTTAGTGTCTTGGAACAACACTGATGAGATTGGAAATTAACCAAAACAATGTGCTGAAAGATGCTAAAATGCACCATAGCTTTATTACCTTGAAGGCGTTTGGGGCAAAAGATTTCTTGTAGATATTTCTATTAGCCATCTGTGATCTATAACGTCTCCCTGAAGGTAAAGCTCAGATTCACTGTGCAATGGGTGAGAGGGGTCGTTAATAATTCTGTCAGCCTTCCTTTTTAAGAGTTCATCATACATACTATTTCTTTGCTTTTGTCGCTTTCAAGTAATTTTGGATGCCATGTTTAATATTTTCTGCAGCTTATTTCTTCTCTCAATGGTCTAATCTAGTGGAAATGACTGCTAACATGAGGAAGCTGTGCAAATGTTTTGAGTGAAATACAAACTTGAAGGAGGACTGGGTTGGGGGTGAAGACTATCAGTCAGACAATGAAAACTGCCTGGAGGCATGGAGTTATAAAGAAGTGAGCTTACCAGACCTCTGTAGCCCTCTCCTGATCTCTGCTTGAGGCTAAAGCCTTTTGGCTAAATTAGCATGTACTAGCAGAACACACCTGAATCGGCAGTCGAGTTGCCTTGTGGGTAATGAAGGCATTAGGTTTTAAAAATATATTGGCTTTGAATCAATATATGCACAGAATAAAGTTATAAAATGCAGATATTTGTATCCGGCATTGTCACCTAAATGTATTATTTTAATGAGATACCAACTTTCTACCAAGCTACAACTATCTTTATAATTTTAGCTTATCAAGTTCCTTATCCATTTTAACACATGCTGTGTATTGTTAATGTGTAACAAATATAGCTGCAGACAAAAGCTTTTTCAGGAAAATACTGATTATTGTAATGATACTCAGATGCTATTTTAGTGTGTTTATAACAAGAGGGGAGGTCATGAGGATTCTTCATCACATTGCTGTAGGAGGTGTTATCTTGGCTTTGGTGTCTTTACATGTTTGTGTACACAAGCTCTCAGTGCACGTGACTGAGTCGATAAGTTCACTCCACTCCTAAGGCTCCAGCTCTACGTGTGTCAAACCTGCCCTGGAGGTGATATGTGTTTATAGCAACATGTTTTTCTTTTAGAAGACAAGTCATCGCCGATTAGAGGTGTGATGAGTCCACATTCATAATCTTGAAGTGTCAAATTTGAATGATGTATATGTGTCCACTATGGAAGCAAATAATGCTATGGAAGCAATGGAGCAATTGAGCTGATGGTTGTCAGAGTAAAATAAAATGAGTGTCAGCGACCACCAGACTACTACAGACCCACAGGGGACGTGATTTAATTGTCTGCTCACGATGCCATTGCTCCACTATATCTTTACATAGCAAATAGTTGTTTCCTGCTATATTAATGTTCAAAATCTCATATATAAATGTTAAATGTACAGTTAACTTTAAGTGTTTAATAGTTATTAATGTAACAAATTGGGTTTCCAGTTGGTCATACTGTAAGAATCAGATTTTTATGGCCTTCATTTGCTTCCATAGTCCACTTCAGAAAAAGACAGACAAAGACATCAGTTTTTGTATGTTTCCACTTGTTTTCCAAACTGAACAGACTTGGCAGAGGCTGAATAGGAAACATAATTGCTGTCATCCTAATGTGTTACTTTCCATTTTACAGGTAATGAACCGGCGCCGTTGGGCACGGTGGAGAGCTATAACCCGGTGAAGCGGCGCTGGGAGTATGTGGCACCCATGCCCACTGCACGCTGCTCCTCTGCCCTCGTGCAGACAACCAGCATGCTCTTTGTGATCGGTGGAGTTGCGCAGGGACCCAGTAATGCTGTGGAAACCCTGTGTTTACCGGAAACAGTGTGACACATGCACACACACCAACACACACAGGAATAATTGCAAACCGGCAGTGATATTTTATTATGTATGTGCATAAACACAGACAAAAACACATGACCTGGATCCACAGATCACTTAGATACTTTTCTACCTTTATGTCCAACTGATGGATTACTCTTGTACACTGGGATGTAAGAAACTCTTTTTCAGATTCAACAAGCATTTTCGGGGGCTGCAGAGACAGTTTGTGACAGAGCTGGACAAATACAAGATGAAGGACATTCAATCCGACTGCTGACAGCTTTTTTACACTGGGGAAATCAGAGGAAGACAAAAAAAAGAGCAAAAAACAGACACACGCGGTGTCTAAAGAAACAACACGCCTTTGAACTGTTGAGCATTTTTCAGAATAAAAGCAGGGTACTTTTCTGGATATTAAAGGAACATAGGGCCATATCTGTATCTCTTACAGCAGCATCGCTCTCCCCAACTGCTGCAAAAGCAAGCTCGGACACTTTTCTATGACCTTAGACACAACACATAGTTGAGTTTTAGACAGTGACCTTCTGGGAATGTGAATGTTTCGTTTCTTCTCCTTATGTTGAAGTGTTGTATATGTGTGAAAACCGCTACCACAGTGTTGACAACAGTGGCCCTTAACATGCGTTCAGACCGCAAGCAACTCAAGCAACTGCCAGTCAGAAGCCCCTCCATTTTCAACGACCAGTGAAACGGTGGCTGATGTTGACCACAGTCACTGTGTTTCCTTTATTTCCAGTTGTAGAAAAAGTTGACTGTGGTTGAACTTGTGTGCACCTTGCTCTGCTACACATCTATCCAGCTCTGTTTCAGCAGCTGTTTTAGCAGCACAGCAATCAATCACCAAGCTCAAACAGTCCTTCACACTGTAGCACAGGGATGTAGTTGCTCGTGGAGTGAATGCAAAGTTACTCATACCTGCTGCACTGAAGCATCCAGACAGACAAATAATAATCTGAACATCAGCTTCCTGACATATTATATTCCCCCTGAGTTTTATGATTGATAGCATTTTATTCTTTACCTTGCTTGCTTGCTTTATGCTTGATGTCAGCCAGATGATGGATAAAATGGGAAGAGCATCTTAAGGTGGTGATACCTGGGCAACATTTTGAAGCAATATGGTTACTCACTAGGTTTTAGCAAGAAAGATAATGTTTGTTTAAAAAAGGACAAAATCTTAAAGTATGTACAGGTTTGAGTTTTATTTTTGCGATTATGGTTTTATTAGTGTTTTCCATTTTTGGCAGAGTAGTGAAAGGGATCTGAAATAGCCTGTTTTTGTGTAACCCTAGTGTAATGTAGGCTACCATGATCATAGGTGCATTCTATTTGCACAACCTTAATGGTAAAGTTAGCCCTGGCTTTTGAGCATAAAATAAGTGTAGGCTTAAAAGGAGACTGAAAAGATTGTAGCTTGTTCAGAAAGGGAGCTGAAGTTAGCTTGCAAAGCAAAACATATCAAAATTCACTCATGCAGCATATTCCACTTCTCCACTATTGGTTCAGTATGTCCCAAACAAGTGTCACTTTGCCAAAAGATTGATAACTACGCTACTTCCAGCAGAGCTTTGAAGCGATACAGAAGTAGTGAACTTAGCTGCTAGGCAAGTTAAAAAATCAAATAAATTCCAAATTATATATTACTCATTAAAAAAGTTATATTACTAATGATTCACCAACAAAAGTAATTCTTTCTGTATGAAGGTTTTTATAGTTAATTAAAACTAAACTAGAACTAAAAGGCACAGTGTGTAGGATTTAGTGGCATCTAGTGATGTAATTGCAGATCGCATCTGTATCACTTAATCCTCCTTTTCCAAGCGCGAAGGAGAAACTACGGTGGCCGTGAAACATTGAAGAGTACAGAGCCAGTGTTTGGTTTGTCCATTCTGGGCTACTTTTCAGAGCCACCTTTTAATCCTACTGTGGGGGAGCAGTTGATACTCAAAAGGTAGACTTTTGGTGGAGATTCAGCTCGGGCTGAGGTGAGACTTGTGTATAAGAAATGATGGATGGAGCTACATGGGAGAACGTTTTGTGACCGATTCAGTGACCCGTGGATAGCAGACGAGTTCTGGCAGGAAGCAAAGGAATTATCCAGTGCAGTGTGTACCAGCTTGTGTTGGTCTCTCTTATCCTGTCATATTGGTAGCATTTTTGAATGAGCACTTGAAGAGCCAATCACCAGCCTCTCCATTCAGAATTAATTTACAGTAACACAGTAGTCAGTTGTGGCTCAGCTGGTTTGATGGTGGTTCAGCCCAATAATTATGGGCTCCAGACTAAATTAAAACCTTTTATTGAGACAATAGAGAGTAAAGCTTCATATGAAAGCCATTTATCCATTCCAACTAAAGAAGTTGATGCACTTTGTCGTACTTTTACTAAAATTTGCATTAGAGATTAGATGATTGGTCTACCGGATTAATTGCCCTATACCTCTTCCTACCTGGAAAATACAAGTAATGGCATTTGCCACGATACAATTTGAAGTTTCTTTTAATTTTTCAGTTTAAATGATAATGGACTATTTTACCACACTAACACACAAAAAATACACCCCTGCATCCCAAAGGCACGGTGCACCATTTAGAGACAACATTCATTTGCTACATCCAAACTGTTTTAAATAACTGACTTAATGTTTCAGTTGCATGAGAAATAGCATGCTAATGGAATTTAACCGCTATCTCCCTGAAAACTCTATTTAAAGAGACTTGTATGAATTCATACTTATAGAGAGGGAAGAGAAAACTTTAGATAAGTTAGAGTCACAGATAAATACCAGACAAGAAGAGAGAGTTATCTCTGGTCCACAAATTAGCATTGTTTTCTACACACACAAATACACACGTCCTTTTCACTATTTTGCCCTCCTTCATATATTTTTCTGGCCGGCACCCTGGCCTTGTTAAAAGAGCCTGACATCTATTGCTGTGAGAGAGCACTGAAGCTGTTGGAGCTCAGATGTGATGCCAGTTGACAGTTGGTTATTTCTGGTGCTGCATTGTGTGCACCTAATGGAGTGTGTTAGGTACAAGCCGCACACTCATCACATATGTACGCATGCACTAACACAAACACACACACCCCTGCCTGTACGCAGAGCCAAGCATAGAACTACGAGCCTCCATGCATGCCTGCACGAATGCAGTTAGTCACTTACTCACTCACATAGTTTATCTGGCAACAATCACAAAAGCTTGGAGAGAATACAGAGATCATTTTGTCAGTAAACAGCTCTGCTGGTTGGGGACCGTGGCCCTCCATCCAGGACTGATTAACCTACTTAAATCAAGTTGAGTGTGTGTTTGTGAGAAAGCTTGTGTATTTTTGTCATCAGAAGTGGATAAGGTTTATTAAATTTGGCCAATGTATTTGCATGCAACTTACTCATGCAGCCCATACACCTAAACAGTTTAATTTTTTTGTTCAGTTTCAGTTTAAATCCCTGAAAAAATAAAGGTTATTAGCTTGCTAGATGTTCAATCAGCTAACATCTGGGCAGGTAGTGTACAGTGGGTTTACAAGAGCTTTTACACTGAAAGCAGCTGTCTGCTCCTGCTGGAAACTTTGAACTTGGAAAATTTGTTAAGAATTTGCAGGCTATAACCAAAACAATGAACTAAAAGAGGCTAAGAAGTAAAGCTGCAGAGTCTGGTTGTAATTTACCTTTCCTAACCCCTACCACTTTCTGCTCTGTGCTCCAATAANNNCTGTCAACATCCTCCTTTGCTGTACTTAGACCTGCTATGTGCTAGACTCATGTATGTTGAAAAGACCAAAACCTTTGCAACCAACTGAACTCTTATCCAGCATTGATATAAAACGATATTCATTAATGCAGCTTTAAGGTGTGCTCTCCTGTGTGTGCCTGGGCTTGTATGTCTACATTCATGAGTGTATGTGCATTTGTGCATGACATCTGCTCGATTGATGCTCTGTGTGTGTCGTCGGTGGCTGGTCGTGCTGTGTCAGTGTCCGTCGTCCGTCGGTGCCTGTGTGTGTGTGCACCAAGACACACGTACCATCTGTTATTGTGTGAACTGTCTGGAGAATGTACAATGTCTCCTTTGCAGTTTCTCTGGCTCTTCGATACAGTTTACATGCCACACTGCAGTCCTCAAGGAATTCTGGGACGTTGCCAGAGCTAACTCTCTCTTTTGGTTGTCTAGTTTGTTTAGTTTCTTCCTTTTTTAACTTTTCTCTCTCACTTTCTCTCTGACCCTGTCAGAGTCAGTTAGAGAAGATGCTTCATAAATCCCAAAAATTCTCTTTCAGTAGAAAAGATGCCTCATAAATCTGTTTTTCTGGCTCCTGATGTGACGTATGTGTCAGGCTGTTTACTCATTGGAGTGAAATCCCTCTGCTGCTTCTGACAGCAGGTTGAGGAACACAGAACAAAAGAGCAGGATGCTTTAGTACACGTAGCATTTAATTACATGCTGTAAGTTTTTTAGCAGGCCATGAGCCGATGATGCACAAGCATATGTAAATTTATTTTTACAAGACTAGTTGAAAGCCAAAATGTATTGTGGACCTGCTTCCCATGACAAGAGCATTAATATAGTTTCTAGGTGAAATTTTTCAAACTGAGTCTGAAAATCTGCAGAACCTGAGGCGCAGGGCAATTTCACAAACAATAAGTGCCCTAAAATGATTACACAAGTTTTTAATACCCTCTTCCATAGAGCAATGTCGACAGCACTCATATTGAGGCACGTTTTTATTATCTGGAGCCAACAGACTAGACTTGCATTGCCCCAAAAAGTTGCCTTGTGTATTAATACCTCTCAAACATTTGTAGTTCCATATATGTACCCGCTCATCCAAGACACATTCAGGACTGTGTTTTAGTGTAGGCACACTGTGCATGGCAGGTTCTGTGCCTTGATTCACAAAAATAAGGCCCACAGACTCAGGTTCTGAAAAACAATGGGGGTGCATTCAGCACAGGGCAGGGACGGGGGCGGACGATGCTGAATTTACTGTTTTCAGTGTTGTGAATCCAATGCATTACTGTGTCTTATTTTTGACAATGAAAAGCGTCTACTTTTTTTTTTTGCGGGCCAACTTGAGTACAGTTTCCTGGGCAACAGGGAACAGTGTCAACACCCGCAGGTAGCATAAATGTGCTCCTCTTACATCAGCATACCCATGTGTTCTTGTTGTTTTTGTTTCCTATTTGGGCTTGTAGAAATATATCAAAAATCCTGTTGATTATGGTTGATTAGGTAATCCAGATTAGATATAATGCTATTTCTTGGGTTATTTTGTTCAGTTTTCTCATTATTTTGCCCTCCAGTTGTCTGTGTTGTGGATTGAGGTTGTGCGGTGACAGATGTGTCGTGATGTTGTCCAGGTCGGAGCTAGGTTCCCCAAAGTGTTTGTCACTAGTTATGTGTTCTTGCAAAGCTTCGCTTGTGCCAATGTTGCAGCAAATATTTTTTCAATAGAAGTATATCCATAACTTTTTTTTTCACTGTGTTGTTCAGATGAGATGCATAAGACACAGTTTTTTGTCATACTAGGAATGAGGATATATGTAATACGGCTATCTAATACATGGTTCTTGAGAAGAAATGAATACAAAAGTTCATATATAGTAGACAACAAGAAAGGCAACAAGCAACAAGCTGGCATATTTTATTTGTCTTTCAATATGCTGAGTGGTAATATATCAGACACAAATGGCCATCGGCAGAGCAAAAAAATACACAATAATAACTTTTTGATTCTGTGACGTAACTAAGAGATCTTCAAAAAATCACTATCTCAAAACCCACGCAGCTCAAGAACCACCGGCCTTTAGTGCAGTCTAACCGCTGAATAAAACTAGTTTGTACAGATATTTTGGGAAACATAAACCCAGAATCCCTCTCCTGTTGTCATCTCTCTCGCTGTACTGTGCTGTTACAGTGATTGACATGGTAGAAACCTGGTGAACTGCTTTGTGGTCTCAGTGGATCAGTATTGCCATGTGCTCTGTATGTATATTTGGGAAGTTTACTGAACTTAATGAAATGTACTGAAGGTGAAAGCAAAACATAAGGAAGGGAGGACTCGACTCACTCAGATGACGTGTGGGGAGGTGTGAGGCAGTGTGTATGAAACAGTAAAAAGTTAAATATAACCTTATTTATGTTCCAATCCTTTAAAATTTGTAATTTATCCCTATAATGACTGTGTACACATTTAGTCTTAGACACATGTGCATAAGCCCTTTCAGCCAAATACACACAGAAACTTCTGCCACTTTAAACTATGCACTGACAGTATATCAAGCCCAGTGACACTAACAATGACTAGAGTCATATATGACCCCAATTTAACAGTAATGATAACATATATAGTCCTAGATATATAGATACATATATTCAACATAACTATAAATAATAGAAACAAATAAATACATAAATATACATTTATTTTTACAGTTTTACACAATGATATATGGGTCATGTTCCCTGAGACAAATAAAATTCTGTTTAACTCTAGATTCTGAGTTGCTCTATATACAACATTTCTGAACATTTAAAGGGCACTCCACCAATTTTACTCATGAGGTGAGCAGTGAACGCAAGAAAACTGTGTGCAACGGTGCTCTTACAGTACTCATTTTCACCCCCAACACAAGTGCATCAGAACCACAGGATGAAGCAGAGGAAAAAGGCAACACTTTTTGCACGATGAGGGACTGATTAGCTCCCGTATCACGCAAAATTGTAATCGGAACCTGATCTTCCTCCTTTCCTGTCAGAGAGACTGAACCTTGTAAAATGAACGGTCTGTAACACTCATCTACCTCTTCTTTTTCTGGTTCAGTACTGACAGGAGACGGAGTGGGAACAGACTGAACAAGTCCAACACTTTTTGGTCTTGTTTCACTTTGATTATGTTCTTTACGCTGGAGCGCAGGGCAGCTGGCTATAAGGTGTCCTACCTTGTGGCACTAAAAACATTTACGTTCAGAAGACGTAGGATTAGGTCTCTGTGGATTTTTTTGTAAGATTTCATGTTTTTTTTCAGTATTTTCAATCAAAGTATGCCCGCGGCGCCCCGCCGGAAAAGCAACACGGTGCGTTAAAACGAACTTATCGCGAGCACAGCAGCTTTGCACAGAATCTGATTTTTGTTCATTTAAGTAAACGACAATATTCTCTGGAAGACATGCTTTAAACTCTTCTAACAAAAATAATTCATGGAGTTGAGCAAAATTTGTCACTTTACTCGCAGTGCACCACTTATCAAGGAGAACAGTTTTCTCCCTGGCAAACTCCACGTATGTTTGGTTAGGCGTTTTTTCACATGTCCGAAATTTTTGGCGATATGCCTCAGGAACTAACTCATAAGCACGTAACACAGTAGTTTTTACCATCTCATAATCTCGACTTTCATCAATAGATAAGCTTGCACACACCTCCTGGGCCCTCCCCACCAATTTGCATTGCAACAGCAAACTCCACACATCTTTGGGCCATCTTAACGTTGCGGCAATGCGCTCAAAAGTATTGAAATATGAATCTACTTCACTTTCCCTAAATTGTACTAAGGCAATATGCCTGCTTACATCAAATTGCTCAGAGGAAGCGGTGGGAAGACGCATACTTACAGGAGTGGAAGTAGTCGGATGCGGACGATCCAGCTCCTGAGCCCTTATGCGGAGGTGCATAATCTCAACCTCTTTGGACTTGGGTTGGAGTTCCACCTCTTTCATGCGGAGGGCCAGCTTTAGATCCTCCGTATCCACTCCAGCCTGTAGCAGAGCTACCGGATCCATGCTATAGGCCTTGGTGACAACAAGGCCCTCGCACTCACCTGGCCGCTGAAGGTTTGTGTGGCTGTGGCAGCCTCCGCTCCCACTTCTTCATCTAAAACCTCCAGTGCAGGAACCCTCTCTGGCTTTGTCTACGTAACTATGCCCCTCTCCACCAGCTGTTCTGATAAACTCTCCTTAATCTCTGTCTTGTGTGCATTCAAAGGAACAGAAATGTCAAATAATTTCGCAAAGAACCCTAGTTGTGCTTTTGTCGATCTAATTTTTCTAAAGTGTGATTTTGTGCAAACTCATCTATCTGAAAATCCATTCTCCCTCCACACACGAGAAATCACCAACCATCAATATAAGATAGGACAAAATTTTTGTTTTTCTTTCTTTTTTTTTTAAACACTAAGAGAGCACAGGACAAGAATTTAATAAATGAAGAACGGATGAGCCCCCAATTTATGTTACGCCCCTGTCTAGGGGGAAGGAGCGCCCATCATAAATGTATGAAGAAAAATGAACCAATAATCCTTTCCCGCCATTCCCAAACGAACAACTAGGCAAGGAGTTAACAATGATGTGTGAATGTGACTTTACTTAACCACCACACAGTAAACAAAGCTGCAAACAGAGAACCAAACAACAACACCTTCAGGGGTGAACCAAGGCCAAAACAACAAACAAAACAGAGCTAACTTTCTTAAACAAAAATCCTGACTAAATCCTGACTAATTATTGAAATTTATATTTTCTGACAAACAAGATGATTATCATTTAAAAATGAGATTGATATCACTGTCATGTCTGTGGGTTAACTGTGACTGGAGGTGATTAGCTTAGCTTAGCATAATTGAGCTACTAGATAAAGGCTGGCCTGGCTCTCTTCGAAGGTCAAAAATACACCTATCAACAACTAAACAAAAGCTTATTAAAGTTG